CTCGTTGGGTAATGTGGTCAGCATTACGCCAGCCGTCTTTACTTTCCCAGGTACCCATTTTAGGCTGGGTCGACCTGCGACGTCCCATACCACGATAAAAATCCACGCAGCCCAGCAGTGGGTTTCGATCGCGGTACGTTGGATTACGAGTCAGACTCGCAACGCCTCAGCTTCTTGATACCACTATCAAAACCAATGCAAAGTGCAAGACCCGCAGCTGGGGTGGAACTGGCACACCCAGCATTGTAAAGCGCGTTCGCAACACCTAAGCGGCAGATTCTCTATGTTTCTGTATGAGATACTGTATGCACTGTATATATCCTTGGCTGGGTTTAATCTACTCCGTACAATAATTCCATGTGTTATCTACACATACACAACCCGCACGTGAAGAGAGGTTTACATAAACTCAGAGAGAGAGAGAGAGAGAGAGAGAGAGAGAGAGAGAGAGAGAGAGAGAGAGAGAGAGAGAGAGAGAGAGAGAGAGAGAGAGAGAGAATGACCAACACAGATAGAAAAGGAAACGACGAGAGATATGTGAAAGGCAGGCAGATGGAGATAGACAGAAAGAGAGAGAGACAGAAAGATATACACACATTCCTCATGTGGAGAGAGAAAAAGAACGATGACAAAAAAGCAGACAAGCGGACAGTTAGAGAGAAATTATGTATTTTAAAAAGAACATCAATGTTCTGGAAAAAAATAAAGGCTCTGGAGAAACAGCTAACAATAAACAACTGACATATTTTACCTACGTTAAAACACATAACAGTCTTTTAAAAACCACACCTGAGGGAAAGTTCGAGGGTAGGAGAACAAGAGGTCGACAACGATTCAAATGGGAGGACAACATCAAGAGATGGACGAACAGCAGTTTAAGAGAGTGTACAGCTAAGTATAGACACAGAGAATGTTGGAAATCTACTGCAGAAAACTTTTACTGTGGAGACTTCACCTGAATATACACAATGTTACAGAGAGAGAACAACCCATAAAAACTGTTGACTTCTATATCTTTTTTTTTTAGTATCCAGAAGCCATGAGTTGTTAACCCTTAGGCTCGGTATTATGGACATCGCAACCTTCGGCCTTGATTCAATAATAGAAACCGTAAATCTGGGAGAAATGTGGCTTTTCTGCCTACCCCCGGGCGTGAACCCGGACCACAAGGAGTTAGTCACCCGGTCACCGCGCAGTCCGGTTTAGCCAACTACGCTAGAGAGCCGGGCGACCTCTATATCAGGTGGAGGAATAAGGGTCGGGGGGGGGGGGGGGGGGGCGCTGTAGAGTATCGACTAGACGCTCGCCTTCGGATCGAAAGGTCGTGGGTTCCTGTCCTGACTGAACCGGACTTTTTATTCTTCAAAAATGACCTTGGCTTCCAGGTCGACGCAGCCTTGAAAGTGTACCAGGTAACGTCCTGGGAAGTAAAGGCGGTCGGTGTGATGCTGACTAAATCACCCAGTGGGCGCCAATTAGTCTATAAAATATAGGTCTAGCCATTTATGCCCAATAAGCCTGAAGAAATGAAAAAAGGTCCTTTACTTAAACAAACAAACCAAAAAAAAAAAAAAAAAAACTTTTTTTTCAGGTGACGTTTACTATCAGGAGAAATCCGGACGGCATCTTGGTAAACATAGTTCTACCCGTGGTGTTTCTGTCATTTCTGAACCTGTGGGTGTTTGTCATACCCGTGGAGTCCGGAGAAAAGATCAGTTACGGTAGGTGAAACACTGTTTCAGATCTCAAGCAACGTTAGGTGTGAAATGACGTCACAATCTCCATGGCATCATGTGCTGTCTTTTTTATTTGGAAACAATTTTTGGTCAGAAAATACTAACAAAATCTGGCATCTTTCGCCAAAAAATTACTACCGCTGTGTATATTGCTAATTTGAATGTAATTAATTTACAATTTTTCATCATATTTCTTCACTTACCATGCCTCCCATCGAAACTTATAATACCGAAAGTTTCCCATCGAAACTTACGACACCGAAATTCTCCCATCAAAACTTACAATACCGAATGTCTCCCATCGAAACCTATGATACCAAAAGTCTCCCATCGAAACTTACAATACCGAAAGTCTCTAATCGAAACTTACAATACCGAAAGTCTCCCATACAAACTTACAATACCAAAAGTCTCCCATCGAAACTTACAATACCAAAAGTCTCCCATCGAAACTTATGATACCGAAAGTTTCCCATCGAAACCTATGATACCGAAAGTCTCCTATCGAAACTTACAATACCGAAAGTCTCCAATCGAAACTTACAATACCAAAAGTCTCCTATCGAAACTTACAATACTGAAAGTCTCCCATCAAAACTTATGTTACCGAAAGTCTCCCATAGAAACTTACAATACCAAAAGTCTCCCATAGAAACTTACAATACCAAAAGTCTCCCATCAAAACTTACAATACTGAAAGTCTCCCATCGAAACTTACAATACCAAAAGTCTCCCATCGAAACTTACAATACTGAAAGTCTCCC